CAGACAGACAGACTGACCACGTGTTCCAAACGGGCCACAAACCCAGCACTGACACATACTTCTCTATCATCTACCGAGTACCAAATAAATTGCCCGAAACATCCAAGTACCGCATACTCCATACAGCAGGGGCTATCACAATTCGCCTTAGACAACCAGTACTTTATGTACAGAAGAAGCAAGTCCAACCAGGCACTACTACTGCCCTGGCCGGCCTTCATTGGAGACTATAAATTCATGAATTTGAATTATTATCTTTCCTAATTCCTCTGATATCCAGTTTATTATTATGTTGATGCTATTGAAGTGTAATCCATTGATATAATTATTGATTCCATGTTATTTAAACAACATTAATGTTGTTAATAATACTAATTCATCCACTATTATGTATATAAAGCTTTAGAACCTGATGATGAAGTTATCGGGAAGAATATTCTTCGTTCAGTAACCATTCTTTTGAAAAAAAATCGCTACACTGGCTGACTAATCAAGTTGTAATGTCAAACTTTGCACAGAAGTGCAGCAGTTTAATTTAGCACACTCCATATAGCACGCAGAGGTAGAGAAATGAGAGAAGACAAGAGATTCAAAAGAAGTATGATGACCAGAAATGTACTAGAGAAGCAATAGTTACATGAAAAAACATTAGAATTTAATGGATCTTGGAAATTACAAATCTGAGCCATTGGGAACGATTTTGAGCTATATTACCAATAGTTTCTAGGCATTAGTTAGTTCTTAGAATGCCGAAGACTTCAGTCAGAGGCAGTCTACACCTGTCTACATGGCTGGCTCAAATCAACTGGTCAGCAGAGACCTCTTCGATTGATGACAGGTTTTTTTGTTTGACCACCATTGACTCTTTTTCAACCTAATCGTATGTCATTTAACATTGCTCACCGAAGAAGACGGTAGCTCCGCATGTGTAACATGTGTCCTAGGCATCTCAATCAGTGCAGCTTCATAACCTAATCGATCGACTTACTCTTCTCACCTAATACTCTACGCCTATCCCGAAGATTACTTACTAAATTATACCACTTAACGCGGGAGTTAGAACACAAATAGGTATGGTCATGGGCAGCTAACCTTCTCATATCTCCCACTGTCAATGGAAATGTCTTACAGTCATAAATAGGGGATAAAGCGAACTCCTGCGCAATACACACATCCTTTGATCGATAGCCAGATATCATGTCTACGCCAGAGATGATGTAAAGTTGGCAAATGCTACACAAGGTCACCTGTACAACTGTCTTCAATATTGCATTACTTACACAAACTGATATCTTGTTGCTTACCAAAGTGACTGTCTAATCCCCCGAGCAAGTCACTTCATAAAATCAATCTGTTGTTAACATATGAACTGAGCATTTTAAAAGCTGCCCATATAGTGAGGGAAGGGGAGTTGCGCGATCAGTTTAATTTACAAACTAAGTACAAATAGTGAGTAAACACAGGTTGTTTACTGGTTTAGACTTTTTTCTCAATATCAGATCATCGACTTGAGTAGTAGACTTCACTACAGAGATTCTTAACAAGCTAGAATAAAATATTCACTACAGTCCTACAGGAGGTCAATGGCTAGCTCGAATAGCTCAGTGTGGTAACGTCTCTGACTGCAGCACTGGGTGACGCGGGTTCGAATCTCAGAAGGGACATGAGTTCCTTCAAGGTTGCAGATACGCCTTGCTGACTGGTGAGTGCCAACTAGCACGAAACCTAGGTTCAGGGCTTCCTGTGGCCGATTGCCTCCAACTATCCAATATCATCAAAGCTAGAACACTGTGCTTGAATTCATTAATATATTTGTAGAAAGTCTAGTTCCATATATTCAAATAAATAAGAGTTAATTTTTGAAGATTAATATTTCTATTTGTTTAAGTTGAAATGATCTGTGTTTACTTTGGGTTTTTTTGTACTTTGCTTTGCAGCACTGATTGTTTATTGTTTCTCTTGTTACGTATTGGCGTATGTTGTGTATATAGACTAGGTAGAGATAACTGTTTACTCTTATGTGGAGTAGTGGTATTACTTACACGTATTACAGAACTTATTTCATATTGCTACGTTTGTTATTCTGTGCATGAATTTATTTCTGTTCTGACTGTTTTACGTTGGAAAAACAAACATGAAATGGTTTGGTAAATAGTGCTCTCCTTTTTAGTAATACAATCCGATCACGTGTTTTCGTGTTTGTTTGTTTGTGTGTGTGTGTGTAATATGTTTTTGTTAGTGCTGTTGCTCTTTCTCTCTCTCCCTCCATCGAATTGGTCTGTGTATCTAGACTCATAGACACTTTGAATAGATGCGTTGATTTTCATGAGCAGTGTTAGCTGACATAGAGTTCGGTTGGAAAAGACTTATAGGTGGTCAAACCAAAACCTGGGATCAGTCAGTCAATGGTGTCTTTGACAGTGTAAGCAGGTGTAGGCAGCCAAGTTGGTGACTTTTCACATAATGTTAAAAACCAGTGACTATCGACTACTGGTCATATGGCTCAAAATCGTTCTCTGTGGCGTAGGTACATTCACTTCTTGTTATCCCCCATATTCAATAAACCCACATATTCTTCCCTGTGACTATTCTTTCTCTGGTATATTTCTGTGCATCATAGATCTTTTGAATCTGTATTTTTCTTTCTTTTCTCAAACTTTTGTGTGCTATATGGAGTGTGGCAATTTGAACTTCTTCTTCTGTGCTTCTGTGCAAATTTCTGTGTTGAGATTCAGTCACTTGGGTGGTTGGCGTTTTTATTCGTGAATAACTAAATAGTCAATTTAGACGGCCGCCCATTTGTATCTTATCATCTGGTATTTACTGTAATATTACTTGGTAGTTTGTGTCTGAAAAAAAGAATACGCTAGATTTCGTTTCTGTTTTATATGGCACTCATGAGTTAGATTTAAGAAAGTATGAAAGTTTTATTAACTGTTATTTGGATCATGGCGACTAGTAGTGGGATGGAAGTGGCTTATTTCGTCCTGTTTGAAACTCGTTGGCTGGACGTACCTATATCGCTAGTGAGTGGTGGTGTTCCGACTGTTTTAAACGTTGAAATGTTACAGCTAAATCCTGATGATGAGTCCTAAATCACACGAAATGCATGTTCTCGTATTCCAGTAATCCTCTATGATCTCCGGTACTAAGAGCCGATATGTCAACAGAGACCGGACATTTCTCTCGAATATTGTGGACTAGTAATGAAATAAGAAAGCTGTCTCTTGTCAAATTGTTATAATTCAGTAATCTTGTTTCCTCACAGAAATCAGTAGAAAACAGTGAACATTAAATGAATATTATCCCTAATGATACTGAATATTTTATGTCTGTGTCAGATAGTCGAAGACGATCAGCAAGAAGTATTGAATCTATCTAGACTATATGTGCTTACTGGCACTTATCAGTAAGTTGTGTGTGTGTATGTATGAGACTTTGGAAAACTCATGTCACCTCAGAGATTCGAACCTACATCTCACAATGCTGCAGTAGTCTGAGAGATTACCACTCTAGTTGGCTTACATTTGGACTATAGTGGCTATACTGGTTGTTCACTATGGAGTGCCTGCTCCTTACTAGTGCTGACTAGTCTGCGTCTGTCTATTTTTAACTCAAACTTAGTACACTATGGGTACCATATAATACACCACACAAAACCATCAAAGAGCAATATATGGTAAATAGAAATAAATTAGTTGAAGAATAACAATGAAAACAGGGTAAGCCTACTTGTCAAAAGCATTCAAAATGAGCGCTTGCCACTTCATATTAATTGGAGGATTTCATCATGAGCTGACATAGAAAGTTAACAAAAACTTCATATTAATCTTATTAATAGTAGAAAGAAGGAGACTTCAGCATATTGATTATGGATTTAGATTCTGAGTTATATATGTTGAAAAAAGTGTCAGTCAACTAGCACTTGTAATTTCATGCAATTGTCAATGAGTCATATCTATCATGTGTGAAGGCTAGTGATGCCATTCGACTGGCCAATCCTCGGTAGGTAGAGCAAGGTTCGAACCCACTCACCTGCTAGTTGGAATTTAAACCTCTAGACCAATGAGTCATTGTCCCCCGAGCTATATGTGTAATTTAATAACATCTCATAATGTCTCCGATCTTACTGAGGAAGTCGTAATGCATGCTCAGATGCTGTATTGGGAGTCAGTTACCTGTAACGGGTTTCTTAAATCCTAAGCTAAGAACCAAACATTTCGTGTTAAAGCTGGTGATACTATCCAGTCGGCCTAGTGGAAGTAAGCGGAGCAGGGCTCGAACCCATGACTCATGGGTTGAAAGTCGATTTCTTACGCCGATAAATCATGTCTTCACAGAACAAATGCTAACGCATTACGATGATATTCATAGGGTCAGTAACGTTAAGAAATAATATTGGTCACTCAAATTTGATCTATTTCTTCGTATATTACTATCTAGCTGATGAGATTGAGTTTGGGGGGGGGGATTGGGTTCGGAGATTATTCCAAGTCAGTAGCTGTGTAATACACCTTCAAATGTTTACTATCAGTATTCCCTTGGGTTCCGAATGCAACACAGGGCTTCAGTGGCACATCTCCAGTCACTTTTAGCTGGTTCCACTATCGTCAATAAGCTTTGTATCTCTTCCTCTCACGATCTCTTCTATATCATCCTCGGACGCATGCACAACTCTTCGCTTTCCATTCAAATCCCACTCCACGGCCTGGTGTGTATTATTACTCAATGGTTTCTTCTCCATTTTCTTTGGTACATTTATTGGGCAATTGGCTCTTGGTTGGTTCCTTGTCAGATCTCTTTGTTGCTCGTCTCTTCTGATCATAGGGAACTTTGACAACAAACTGACTTTTAAATGTTACGCAAACTAGAAATATGTCATTGTCGTCAGTCATATGATTAATATCCATTTCCGTGAAATATATTTGTTTTTTTGTTTTGAAAAAATCAATGATAATTTTTCTCTTAACATCTTTTTTTTATCCGTATGTATATATCAGGGTAATAGTACAGAGGCAAATCGTATAGCTAATACACTTAGCACAAAATTAAGCCAATTATCTAGACTATGCAAAGAAATATCATTACGTGATGCCAACAGTATCCAACATCATCATCAACAACACCAACAAGCGCATCAACAACCTTCATATAATCCATTATTCCGTTTGGCTAGAACACTAGAAGGTAAACTAGTACAAGCTCAACGGTGGTTAGCTGATCCACGTGGACCTCTACGTCATATCGGATTGGACGCTTGTCGTTCCCTAGTACACGGTGCAAGAAATATTATCTTATCATCAGATTATTATCATGGTTGTTCTGATGATAGTATTACTGGTAAAGCGGTGAATAATGATAGTGATAGTGGAGTTGAAGATAAAGATGTGAATGAAGCTTGTTTTGAAGCCTGTGAACATGTTGAAAGAGCTGCTGATCGATTGTTTACAATGTCTACTCAAGCTTTGAGTAAGTATTATCTTTTTATGAATTATATATTATATATATATATAGTTATATAACTTTTATTATGAGTTTCTTCTGAATTCTAACCTTGATTGGGCACCAGGTAGGAACTAATGTCATGCGTCTTTTTTTTTCCTTCACGTTCCCCAGTGGAACATAGGGCTTCAAGCTAGTCGGCTTGAAGTTTCTGTAGCAGTGTTTATTTTACAGGATGGGTTTGCTAGCCTCATGCCAAACCTGCCCTCTTTGCCAGTCTTATTACTGGCTTAGTGAGGTAAAGGAGTGCGCCGGCCGGGGATCGAACCCCGGACCATGTGCACGGTCAGCGAGCGTCCTAACCGCTATGCCACCGACGATGTCGTGCGTCTAGTACTTGATTTTAGTGCCGGCTGAATTCTATCATTCCTACTGGAGGTCAATCGCGAGATCAAATAGCTCAGTGTGGTAACGTCTCTCACTGCAGCACTAGGCGACCTGGGTTCAATTCTCAGGAGTGGCATGAGTTCCTTCAAGATTGCAGATACACCTTGCTGACAAGCACGAAACTTACGTCCAAGGTTTGACCCTCTAACAATAATCTAGAATTTTAACTTTTTGAAATTATGTTTTTTTGCTGTCTTAGCCATCAGTGGTGTTCAATGGTAGAATGGTCATCAGCTACATGGTAAGTTCGGGTTTGATTCCCAACCGACAGACTCACTCCTAAACGCCGGCTGGTTTACTTTGCCAGCAGTAAGCCCGCACCTGGATTTGGGAAAAGTGTAAGGGGAGGGCGTGAAACTACACACTTCACCGGATGAAGCTAGAAGCAACACCGTCTTCGGTAAAGCATCAAAAACCTGAAGTTGCCGTGTGTTCCATTTGGAACGCAAATTGAATGGAAACTAGCCTAGGCAATAGACTTCATATCAGCATTTTATTAGGTTGAAGGGCATTTTATCGACGTCGAAAGAAATGTTACTCAACGACAATATTTGCATTCCGATGTATTTAGCTGAATGACTGACTTTGCATAGAAGTGCACCAGCTGAAGTTGCCATATTCCATGCAGCACATAATAGCAGAGAGAGAAAAAACAAATTCAATAGAACTATAATGAGCAGAAAAGTGTGAGAACGACTTTGTGTAATGTCCCCAACAGTCTCCAGTCATTGATTCTTATCATACGGAGGACTCCAGTTAGGAAGTCTCCACCTCTCCCCTATGTAACTGGCTCATATCAACTATCAGCGACTTCATGGATTGATTCCAGGTTTTAATCTGAGCACTGCCAACTCCAGCTAACGATACTCGAAGAGGAAGACCGTAGCTCAGTCTCTACAACACATATCCTAGCTATCTCAATCGGTGATGCTTCACAACTTTATGTGTTTGTTGACTTGCCCTCGCTCTGTAACACTCTAAGCCTAACCTGAATATTGTTGACCATATTATATACCAGTGAACATGGGAAATAGAACGCAAACATGTGTTATCAAAGACAGGTAGCCTTTCATATCTTATACTTTCGATGGCCATATTTCACAGCCATAAAGGAGAAGAAAGCGACCTGCTGCACAGTATTACACTTCTTTTGATCTATAGTCAGCCGGATATCATGTCTACACCGGAGATGACAGAAGATGGCCAGCAACCATACACATGTTGTGTTGAGTAAAGGCGAACAGTTCTACTACTACTACGACGACGACGACCTGGTAACCTAAACTTCAATAAACAAAACGAGATGAATTATTCATATTGTACAGAAACGTGATTCTATTTTCAATGGTTCATCAAAAAATATGCCAAGAGAAAATGTTCACATATGATTTTATGTTCTTGTCTTTTTATTTTTGTGTGTCCTGAAATGAATTCAACTTCATGGGAAAAGAAATGTAACTTTTCTTAAGATTATAATATTGATTACAGATGTAGCGTATACTATTATTTTAAAGTGAACACATATATATATGGTGATTGTTTGTATCATCTGACCCTTATCCAGTATGATATTGTGCTGCTTGTAACAGTTTTTGACCATTTTTTTTGTAGGTTATTTTGGCTTGGCTAAGTGTTGTGTTTTGTAATAGGTGTTGTATTCTTGAAATAAATTCAATGTCAGTGTGTGTGTGTGTATATTTGGAGTAAATTGTATTCTTATGTGATTTTGATTTGATTACGGATGGATGTTAGTTAGAGAACCATGGGAAAATCTAGGAACTTGATTTTTCGTGCTCGAGAACATATCCCACTATGGCTAAATAAAGGTGTAGTTAAAACTATTAACAGCACGATATTAGACCATCTGATGCAAACCGGTCACAAAGCCAGCCAGCGTAGAAGAATCCTTCTCTATAATATACCGGGTGCCTAACAAACTACCAAAATCGCCGAAGCACCGCATGCTCCAAACAGCAGAGGCTATTGCAATTCGCCTCAAACAACCAGTGCTCTGTGTCCAAAAGAAACAAGTCCAGCCCCTACTACTGCCCTGGCCCTCAGTAGAGACTATAAACTCATGAATTTGTAATATTATCTTTCCTAATTCTTCTGACATTCAGTTTATTTTATGTTGATGCTGTTCAGCTGTAATTTATCAATATTATTGATTTGATGTTATTGAAACATTAATGCGTCGGTGGATAGCGTTAGGACGCTCGCCGACCATGCACATGGTCCGGAGTTCGATCCCGACCGCGCACTCCTTTACCTCGCTAAACCAGAAATAATGCTGGTGAAGAGGAAAGGTTGGGCATGAAGCTAGCAACCCCATCCTGTAAAATAAACACTGCTACAGAAACTTCAAGCCACTAGCTTGAAGCCCTATGTTCCACTGGGGAACGTGAAGGAAAAAAAAACATTAATGTCGTTCATAAGACTAATTCATTCATTCATTACAATGTATATATAATTGTAGAACCTGATAATGAATTTATCGAAAAGAGTACTCTTTGTTTCGTGTCTATTCTTTTGAAAATCAAGGATTACTGGACAGCTGTTTCGTCCTAGTCTAGGACGCTTCATCAGCACCCACCCACCGGGATTCGGACCTAGCGCCTTCCAGTTACTAGGGCAGCTCTTTTTTTCAACACGAACTAGAAATAAACAGTGATTTTCTTATAGATCTTGACACCTGTATGACCTCATGTATCACTGAATCCTGGACTGTCAAATATCAAATTAGAATCAATACAAAATACTGTCCAATACTTTCTGGATTTTCAGTAGTATATTTAATAACCAAAACTGCATTGAAATCATACTGAGTGTTTAACATAAACGTTTTTATGTTTCAAAACTAAAATACTGTTCCTATTGCAAACTTCTTCATGTCAACATTGGTTTCCGAATGCAACATAGAGCCTGTGTTCCATATCGTCACTTTGTTCTGCTCTCTGTAGTCTTTCCATTCTAACCGGCTCCATAATTGTCTATCAGGTTTCATTTCCTCTTCACATGATTTAATCCTATCCATGTGACTTTCGGATCCATGTCGAAGTCATCATTTCCAATTCTAGTTGCACTCAAGGATTAGCCTCGAGTGTGTGATATCACTCAAAAGTTTAATACACTCCAGCTCAATTATACACATTCATTACAGATTTTCTAATGTATAGAAAATCGTGATAGGATTTTATTGTACAGAGATATGTTCAATTTCTCTTGAAATATCAACTCTCGTGGCGAATTGGTTTAGTGGTTAACGATAGTTGTAAGGTTCTCTCAAGTCTGTGTAAAGGTCAGCAGCACTCAGCATGAAAAATAAGATCCGGATTTTTAACTCCAATGTGAAGACAGTGCTACTATGCAGATCAGAGACTTGGCGCCGCGTCATGAAGAGCACTTCGAACAAACTACAGACCTTCATCAACAGCTGTCTTCGCTCAATACTACTCAAGATCAGATGGCTGGCCAGAAAAGATCAGCAACACGGAGGGATCTCTGGGAGCGAACAACCAGCCAGGAACCGACTGTACAACAAATATGCAGGAAGAAATGGAGGTGGATTGGCCATACTCTGAGAAAACAAATCATCAAGTGACATCACACACCAGGCCATCACTCGAGTGGAACCCGAATAGGAAGCGGCGAGTTGGTCGTCAGTGGGAGGGTGACATGGAGGAGGAGGTCATGTGAAGAGGAGATGAAAGCATGTGGGCAGACGTGGAGCCAGGTGAAAACGTTGGCAGAGAACCGAACGCAATAGAGACGTGGGGCTGAAGCCCTATGTTCCTCTAGGAACTAAAGGAAACAATAATAATAATAATAGTTATTAGGTTCTAGTTTTAGGAGGAGAAAGACAATCACTCACTGGAGATGCAATAACATCCACTCTGATGAGTCGTAGATAAGATAAAAAGTACATCTTAGATATCACTGCTGGCCTTACCACTAATCATAGGTTTATAATCTCAATCTCCGCATTTTTGTTTTAATAATCTGTCAAGATTGTGTTTAAAACCAATATTTTTCTAAGCCTTCTACAACCTCATGAATCCTGGATCCTGGTAGATGAAATTGTGGATTTAATTGTTTTAAACGGATCAATATTAAATATTTACATAGGAAAAAAAAGTAGAACAATATACGTAAGCGAACAATAATATTTTTTCATCAGGATTATGAAAAGTGGCATGATTAAAGGCTGAGAAAACACAAGTAGTCAGATTAAGTAGTAGTGCTAGATTGTTAAGAAAGTAAATTTGGTTCCAGGCTAACCCCAGAAGTATACGAAGAACATTTTACTCAGTAAACTTATGTTTGTCATTTACTAGTGTAGACAAATGATCGGGACTTCAACAAGAAGTATAAATTAGATAATTTTGCTACATCTCTGTATATTTATTGATTCCACTGCTCCTGAGGAGACAGTTGTGTAAGGTTTTTTTATTAGACAACTTAACCCAACATATTACAGAACATTGCTCAACATGACTTGGGTATGGGGGAAACAAAAACTATTCGAAATTCGCTTTTGTCTTATTCAGTTGATAGTGGCCATTTTGTGGAAAAAACGGACGCACTCAAGGTGTTCCAATGAACTCCGTATTCGTCTACTGCGCATGCAGTTGAGGCAATTGACATTTGAACTATTAAGCTTAAACTATACATTCAAAGGAAGTTCTTATAGTCATTATCTTTTCCTTGGCCAATTCAGATCTAACAGAATGACGGTATCATCGCCACCCCCACCTTATTTATAATTTTTAATCCTTTTCTTATTAACCTTTAATCTTGCTATATCTTCATTAAAACATAGTTTTTTTTCTTTTTATTTCCCTTACTATCTAGCATTACTTAATTGAACCATATTTTGTTTTTCTTAGCCCTTATCGACTACATCTAGCTGGGCATTTGTTTGGTTACAGGAGTTCATCATAAGCTGACATTGGTTAGAGAACCATTAGAAAACCTGGAAGCACTGGACATCTGTTTTGTCCTAGTTTTGGACCCACCGGGGTTCGAACCCAGGACCTTATGGTTACAAGGCGAGCTAGCTCGTAGACCATTAGGCAGCCACTGGGACTCTATCCAATGGCCCATGAATTCTAACTAGGACGAAACAGCCAGCTGTCCAGTACTCCCTGCAGGTTTTCCAATGGTTCTCTAACCAACTGATGTCAGCTCATAATGAAATCCTGTAACCAATCCATCAAATCCCTACAAACCAATATACTTGAACATTTGTTTGTTTAATCATGCTGGTTTTCATTATCCTTTTAATAACAAATCGCTCCACTCTATGATCTTTGTTATTAATAGAATGATTATTATTATTATTACTGTTATGAATGATATCACAATTTGTATATACAATCTTATCATCCAGTTGACACAAATTACACACACTATGATTGGTTTATATTTAATATTTATTTGTAAAGCCTATGTAAACCAGAGTGTGATGCCTAATTCACTATTAAAAATATTCTAATAGATGATACAGTATTAGTGAAGGCAAGCGACATGCTGCTAGGCTTTTGAAATAAATTTGGTAAATGCGTCCAAGTATTAGTTCACTTACAAAATACTAATTAAAATAGCGAGGGAAGTGTCTCTGTTCATCTAAGCCATTGCAGTAGTAAATTTCTATCAACGAAACCAGTGCATTGGAATATACATGTATAGTTCTCTTGGATTCCTAGCAGAACATTTTTGAGGAGGAAGTTAACTGGCCTGTCCACTGTCCCCATTTCTATTTAATTTCATCATAGATGTACTAATGAACTTAACCCTAACTGACCTGACTTCAGCGACTCAAGGATTGACTTGTTACCATCAGAGAATAATCTCGTTGACTTAGAATTTGCAGATGATATAGTCCTTCTAGGTGAGGACGCTGACATAATGCAGAGTCTTCTGAACACCTTGAGGGGCAGGAAGCTGCGAATGTTTGGCATGTGATTTTATTATTATTATTATTGTATCCTTTAATTCCTAGAGGAACATAGGGCTTCAGCCGTGCGTCTCCATTGCGTTCGGTTCTCTGCTAGAGTCTTCACCTGGCTCCAAGTCTGCCCACACGTTTTCATCTCCTCTTCACATGACCTCCTCCACTCCATGTCACCCTTGCACTGACGAACAACTCGCCGCTTCCCATTAAGTCGGTTTCCACTCGAGCAATGGCTTGTCTAGTGATGTCACTTGATGGTTTCCTCAGAGTATGGCCAGCCAATCCATCTCCATTTCTTCCTGCCTATTTGTTTCACAATCGGTTCCTGCTGTGTTGGTTCGCTCATTGCCAGAGATCTCTGTTGCTGATCTTTTCTGGCCGGCCATCTGATCTTGAGTATTGAGCGAAGACAACTATTAATGAAGGTCTGTAGTTTGTTTGAGATGCTCTTTATGACGCGCTGGCCAAGTCTCTAATCCGTATAGTAGCATTGACTGACTTCACATTGGAGTTGAAAATCCGGATGTTATTTTTGATTCTGAGTGTTGTTGACCTCCACACAGACTTGAGAGTAGTGAAAGCTTGTCTTGCTTTTCCGATTCTTGCTTTGATATCCTCGTCAGTTCCGCCTGTAGTTGAAACGATGCTTCCCATGTGGGTAGGTAAAAGAGGTTGTTTCTTTCAGGTTCCTCCCATTTATGCTGATTGTTGTCTGTTGTTGTTGTTGTTGCTGTTGGTGGTGTTGGCCTGGAATCTTCACCACCTCTGTTTTCTTTATGCTCACCTGAAGTCCTATCTTTGATGCATGCCAGAAAGGTTGTTTGGATAGCGGTTAGACAAAAAGCTATGACTCAAAGTAAATCACAAAATATCATGCCGGATCGGTCGGGGCCCGGATTAACAACGACCGCGCTTCCTGCTGCCGTGTCACAGGGCAGAAGTGATAAATATGCTACTGAGACACACCAAATAAAAAAGAACAAACAAAAACAGGCCGTGTGTGACCGGCCTCAAGCAGTTGTCCCCTGGGCTATGCGGTCACGCAACCAACTTCCACGGTGTGGGCAGCCGGGAAGTAACAATCGCCCTCACAATCCGAAGTGCACGCGAAACCTCTCTAATCCTCACTCACCTTTGTCTTCATCTTCATCTCTATTATCTTGCCTTCCTTCTACTAATGCAACTCCTCTACTTGATGGCTCTTCACTTCCTCTTCACTCTGTGTGCACTGAAAACGACGGAAGCCAAAAAACTACCACCGATAGTCTCCTAAAGCCAGTGGCAACTCGAACTGCTGCACTTCGGTGCCAAGTTCTATGTTGAATCCAGCCATCCAGCTCAGAGAACACAACTACATCAAAATCATCCACCTGAGCTACAAATCTTCTCCATCACATTGTATGATCTTCATAATCGAGACAGAGAAGACAGCTGTTGATAAAAGTCAAGCAGACTGTTGGAAATGATATATATATATATGAGGTAAATAAACTATCGATCAAAAACTCAAGGAAGACCTGTAGACAACACTTTGTGCAATAATAGTTCATCTGATTTACTCTTATATGGTGAATATCTTCACCAGACAAGTGATATTTCTACTGATTTGTAAATATTCTTATATTCACAGGTCGGCTAATGTGTGTGTGTGTGAAACAATGAGTCATTTGAGCTTGTGTATTTGGTTACTAATCTAGCATGCTGGTACACATGATGGCCTAATTCACTATTCTATTTCGTTTGGTTGTTCCTGTTCAGCTGACATTATCCAATTGTACTATTGTTAATGACATACAATGACATGCATTCAATACAAACGTCAAGTCAGTTCTTCTATACGGATCAGAAACTTGGCGGCGGGTCACAAAGAATATTTCCAACAGCCTGTTGCAGACCTTCATCAACAACTGTCTTCGTTCTATACTGAAGATCAGATGGCCACCGGAAAGAATCACCAACAAGAAACTATGGGAACAAACAAAACAAGAACCAATCGCCCAACAAATATGCAGGAGAAAGTGGAGATGGATTGGACACTCGCTGAGGAGGCCGCTGGGTGACATCGCGCGTCAGGCCAGTGCTCGAGTGGAACCTGAAAGGGAAGCGGCGAGTGGGATGACCATGGGTGACATGGAGGAGATCGTGTGAAGAAGAGTTGAAACAGTATGGACTAACATGGATGCAGGTGAAAAGTACATCAGAAGACAGAAGCAAGTGGAGGTGTGCAGTTGAAGCCCTATGCTCCACTAGGAACCCAAGGGAACAATAAATAAAATAATAAATAAATGATGACATATGCCAAAGTTTATTGTAACTAGCTCCACTTATGGATTTGAGTTATTTTGATTACACACACACCACTACTGCTATTACAGTCCTTTTTGTTTTTGGTGGTTCTGCGAGTGCAGGTTTTAGTTAGTACTAAGTGCTTAGATTACTACTACTTAATTCAATTATGAAACGATACAGAGACACTAGGTGATGGTATGCTTTCTAATAGATCACATGACATACAGCCAATCATATCTGTTCCCATGAACAACAACCCAATATAGACATCAATTTTAATTCTGAAATTGTGAAAATCCCTGCGGGAAATTCCTGGAAGCCTCGTACTCTCAGATTAATTTGCAGTTAATAGACATATGGATGTATTTGTCAAATTTAATACACGATCACAAAGTCAAATATCGTATCAACAAAACGATCAGTATCAATACAGTTTGATACAATCTTAAGGAGATTCTTAAGGACAACCAGTCAGACAGAAGATTACCCGGCAGAATTCCCGATAGACACTTTTTATGAAAATAAGCATTGACGATGCTACCTAGAAGGACAATGAAACGTTCGCCGAATACAAGAACACTAAATAATCATATTTCATGCATTGTTTTTCCCCCTCACAATTCAAGATTCTTTTACTATCAGTGTATCTTCTCACATATGCTAAATTATGTAATATTCTGATATTTCCTTTTTTTAAAATATTTTTTATCAGCACCGGAAACCAAGAATGCTCAACAAGATTTAGCGCTAGCCATCAGTCGTAGTTTAGCGCATATATGGCAAACGTTAGTGAAAATATTGACTACACAAGTTGCTGAAGCATACACAGATCTTGTTGGACCTCTGCGTCAATTAGTTGAATCAGCTTCACCATCATCAGGCAGTCTACCAGATCAAAATGATTATAATGAGAAGATGAAAGAATTTTTAGTAAGTCCAATTGTTCTATTTTGTATTTAACATTTACCTGATACGTTTTTTTTAAGAATTTAAGACTGTTTACACTCAATACGTTGGCTGGCTGGATTCAACATAGAACTTGGCACCGAAGTGCAGCAGTTCCAGTTGCCACGTTCCAAATACCACACAAAGGTTGACAAGACAAGAAGATGAGTGAAGAGAATCAATAGAGTTTTGACAAGTATAAGAGTGAAACAGAATGAGTAATAGCAGAAAGGAATATGAAAGATTACAGAGACTGAATACATCTGCATAAGCCATTGACAACGATTTTGAGCCATGTCACCTATTGTCTCCAGCCATTGATTCTTAGAGTCCCGAGGGCGGGCCCCAACCCGGAAGTCTGCATCTCCCTCCCTACCTCACTCAGTTTAACTGTCAAGGATTTCATGGATTGATGAGGCCATGTTTTTGTTTGACCACCACTTACTCTTTTCCAACCTGCACCTATATCAGCTAGTAATGCCCGTCCGTCGGGGGAGGCGATGGTTAGGCATGCGCGGCACGTGACCTAGCCATCTCAATCTATGTAACTTTATAGCCTCTTCGAATGATTTTCCCTCTTTGCCCAACACTCTACGCCTAACGTCAACATTACTTACCTTATAATACCATCTAACGCGAGAAAGAGATCGTAGACATCTATGGTCAAAAGCAGACAACGTTTTCATGTCTTCCGCTCTCAATGGCCACGTCTCACCGCCATAAAGAAGGACGGAGTGAACTGCTGAGCAGTACACACGTCCCTTGGTTGATAGCCGGATGTCACGCATACGCCAGAGATGGTGTAAGTTAGCGAAGGCTGCTCGAGATGTTTGGCTCCGTGCTGAGATTTCGTCGCCAACCAGTCCGTTGGTGCTGATACAACTTCCCAAATAGGTGAAGTGGTCAACATGTCCTATCACTTCACTCCCTATCACTATCACTAAGCTAGGAGTTGACGTGGTCCAGCCCTGTAACAGCATCTTACATTTTAACAGGGGCGAATCGCATGCCAAACATACGAACATTGCTGCTAAAGGTGTTCAGAAGGCTCTGCATTTTTTCAGCATCCTCCCCTAATAGGACTATGCCGTCTGCGTATTCTAAGTCTATAAGACTATTCCCTAGTAACAAGTCGATTCCTAAGTCGTTAAGTTCAGTTAAGGATACTTCCATTAGTATATCTATGATGAAGTTAAACAGAAATGGGGAAAGTGGACATCCTTGACGGACACCACTGGTTGTTATCAATTCAAATGACAGTTCCCCATAAGTCCTTACATGGCTACGTGAGTTTGAGTAGAGTGCCTTGATTAGTGCAATGTACTTTTTTGGCACTCCCTTCACAATCAAACATTGCCATAGTACCTCTCGATCCACGGAGTCGAAGGCCGCCTTCAAGTCAAGAAATATGGCAATTGTTGGACGCCTAAAAGTGTGTCTATGCTCTAGGATCTGTCGGAGAGTGAAGATATGATCTATGCACCCTCTACCTGGCCTAAAGCCCGCTTGATCGCAATATGTAACCGAACACATATGTATTTCATATTTTCCGCGTAAAAATTATATTTGCGTAAAAGTATGAACAGATGAGATAAACAAAGGTTTGTTCCAAACAAACGATAGGCACAATGTTCTGATCCGAAGGAATGTTATTTTTTTGACTTCTAATATAAAAACTATATAAAATCATATTTCCACTCTCTACACGCTTCTTCGACAAGTCATGTTATTATTATTATTCCCATCGATTCCCAGTGGAACATAGGGCTTCAATAGCACATCTCCATTTTATCCCGTTCTGTGAAATTGTCTTTAGCTGGCCGCACGATTGTACGTAGGCTCTCATCTCCTCCTTACACGATCTCCTCCATGTCACCCTCTGACCCATATCCAATTTGTCGTTTCTCTTTCGAGTTCCACTTGAAGATATGCTTTGGTGGGGTGATGTCAGTCAGCGGTCTCCTCGTTGTGTGTCTGTTCTATCTCCATTCTCTTCGACACGTTTGTTGAGCGATAAGTTTTTGTTTGATTCGTTACCAGAGTTCCATGTGTATTTAAAATTCACTAAGCAAAAAGTTAGACTTTGTTACTGTTGCATAAAGTCATTTACTTGTTATTAGGTGGGGAGTGCAGTTTTTTGTTTAGCTCAAGTTAAATGGTATGGATCAAAATACTTCACAGTTTCACAGATATCCTCATTTCTTATCATCTTGTGGATTCTTAAAGTGCTCATTCATCTTAAATGAATTATTCTGTCCGTTGTACTCATGTTTTTCTACTGTTCCTACTTACTTGTGTACCTTATCGACCTGTAGGAACTTGAAGTGACAGACACGCATAAGTTCAATTTTTGCTCTAATTTGTCATCAAGTTTGATCATGGATTGATGTCAGTTAGAGAAACATTAAAAACTAAGGGGTGTTGGGTAGCTGTTTTTTCCTAGTTTGGGACTCTTCAACAGTACGCACCCACGACGCCATCGGAGCAGTCAGTCAAACTATTGACTGTCTGTGTTAACAGTCTGTAGAAAAGAAATGGGAATCAGACTTTGTCTGTTGGATCCTTTTGAATTTTGACCAGTAGCAATGTGATCCATTTATGTTTTTGTTTATTTTCCCTTCACTTGATTCGATATTTTTGACGAGTAAGTCAAAGTGTCATAACGCACGTTGTTAATACCATCATTGTTAAACTGTTGAAGACTATCAGAGCTGGATGACTGGATTTATGTCTCCTTCACAACTTTGAATGTTATTTTGTTCTATTTGACCTTTCCTTTCTCATCTGTCCAGCACCATGTATGATGTAGTTGCTTAAAGTTTACGTAGAGATCAATACCCTTTGATTCGACTATTATTGTTCCATCCTTCTATTCCGAGTGCAACATACGGCCTCAGTAGGACATCTCGACTGCATTCAGTTTTATGCCATCACTGTCAGCTGACTTCATGACCGCCCACAAGCTTTCATGTCACACATGGACGGATGCCGTACTGGTCGCTGCTCCCTATTCAGTTTTCACTTGAAGGTTTATGAAGGTCTACTCAGCTAGTTTCGAATTGATCTTCATTTCCTTCCATATTTCAGCGATTAATAGGCTCTCTGGCTTCACCTATAGAAGGACTATATCATCTACACGCTTAAAATAGATGAGACTCAACCCTAATGACCAGGCTATCCCTAATACCGAGTAATGCAGTTTCCTATCTTCTATAAAATAAGTTATTATTAAAACACAAACTTAGTACATAATGGATACCTAAGGATGCGCTAAACAAAATCTCATAGTTTATGCCGGGCCTGTGACACTGCTCGAACACCCAGACAGTAGATGGTTGTTGTAAGTGGTCACTCTCAAGTCTTTAACTTGAAGTCTGATCTACAAGGCAGTGGGGCAGGGTCTGGGGCTACGTTCCCATGGTTTCCGGTGACAAGAACAGGTTCACATGACACTCAATCCTTTGGAATTTTGGAGTCCATATACACCATGGATTTTGATACAGGGTTTTACAGGTCCTCTAGGTGGACCAACATGTCTACTTGTAAGCGCGAAACGTTTTCATTCGTCCTTTCACTATTGTCAGGAACTCTCCCACTGTGTGTGGAGTCGGTGAATAGAGCTAACCTAGCAGAGTCTATGGACGCGTAGCCACATGAAAGCGTTCGGAAAGGAAGATCGAAGTCTACCCATCATAGGCGTTACCAGTTTGTTTGTGGAGGGCGAAAAGTGTCTTCGCTCAATACTCAAGATCAGATGGCCAGAAAAGACCAGCAACAGAGATCTCTGGGAGCGAACCAACTCAGCAGGAACCGATTGTGAAACAAATAGGCAGGAAGAAATGGAGATGGATTGGCCATACTCTTAGGAAACCATCAAGTGACATCACTAGACAAGCCATTGCTCGAGTGGAACCCGAAAGGGAAGCGGCGAGTCGGTCGTCAGTGCGAGGGTGACTTGGAGGAGGTCATGTGAAGAGGAGATGAAAACGTGTGGGCAGACTTGGAGCCAGGTGAAGACTCTAGCAGAGAACCGAACGCAATGGAGACGCACGGCTGAAGCCCTATGTTCCTCTAGGAATTAAAGGAAACCATAATAATAATAATATTGAAAATATGAATGTACTAACACGACTGTCAACAAGTTGGGACTCCCTACTGATTATTATTGACTCTAGTAAATACATGATAGACAGACCAACAAAAGACAACCGTACTATTTCCACAATTATCGTATATTATATGTATTTCAGTGCTGACTGACTACCAACCAACACAGCAGTTAGTTGATGATCATCGCCTCTAAAGAAGTAGCCGTTTTTGATGATGATTTGATATTCATTAAATATGGCGATATGTGTTGTTATTTTATGATATGAAACATTTACTTAGTGTTTTTGGCTGAAATGAACTAATTTTCATGTGTTATGTAATCGGTGGCCCCTGTGTGTGTGTGTGTATGCAAACACATACTTGAGAGAGAGAGAGAAAGTAAACTGTTGTAGATATAGAATGAATGAAAAGTATAAAAAAAGAAAATAACGCGTGGTTTAAATATACATAAAATATAAAATCTGACATTTTTACCAAACTTGTAATATTGTCTAATACATTTAACAGTAGTGTGTGTGTGTGTTTTCAGACAGACACTCATGCATGCATGCAGGCACACTCACACGCACACATGTTGTTGGAACATTATTTTTCTATACACGGTTTCGTATTACACGTAGTTTCTGTTTTGTTTTTTTCTCTTGCTCCCCTGTTGGACTGTTTCATTGCCAAATTTGTTACACTGGTTGTTAATGTTATTTTTAGACGAGTACATATATATATATATGTATATAATTATTATTATTGTATCCTTTAATTCCTAGAAGAACATAGGGCTTCAGCCGTGCGTCTCCAATGAGTTCGGTTCTCTACTAGAGTCGTCAACTGGCTCCATGTCTGCCCACACGTTTTCATCTCCTCTTCACCCTTGCACT